AATGTCGACCAAATCCCGAGGGTGCATCTCTGGGGTCTAAAGCGCTTGTTTCCAAAACTAAACAACTCCACCCTGCGACCCCAAGAAACTGTCCAAAATGCACCATTCCCCGCATGTTCCTGCGGTTTCCCTGGGGTTTCCGGGGGGTGTTCCGTGGTTGTTTTGACGAGGCCCTCAATGTTTCCTGAGGGAAACCGACGCCGAGAGGAACATGGAGGATCAAAGGGAAACAAAACTCACAGTTTACCGTAGAGCTGGTCTATTTTATTTTAGTAATATCCAACTAGTGGTCTATTATCAATGCTGCGTTCTGATTGGTTGAGCTACTACTAGGCTATATGTTATGGCCCATTAGTAGCGAAAAGCGCCGGCTTTTGGGGGGCAAAAAGGAGTGAAGTCTAGCTTAAACTATCGCTAAAGTTGTTTTTAATCAATATTTTTGGCCAACTAGTTGGATTTTACTAAAAAAATAAGTTATTCCTCTCGCACTCATTGCCTCTGAGTCAATAGCCCATTCGGCCTTCGGCGTCATGGGCTATTGAATCAGAGCCCATTCGGGCTCGAGGAATAATTGTTAAATATGCTTCAACTCAGATCAGGAGCCCATAACACTGAGCGAACAACTTCCATGTACTTGCGTTTTCTCCGACTAATTTATTTTTAGAATGGTTTTGGCGCGAACGTAGAATATGTTTAAAGTCCCACAAACTAGTCAGCAAAGCTACAGACTTAAAATTGATATTTTTTGCCATACATTTTACTAGAGGATATTACATGGCCGCGCGGGGATACGAATTTTATCTTCGAGTGCTAGTGAGAGATAATTTCAGCACGACAAGATAAAATTCGTATCCCCAAACGGCCATGTAATGTTCTGTTTATTTTATAGATACTGATGAAATTCCTACACAAAAAACAACTCTTTTGTTTATTCATTTTCGAAACAGCAAAATAGTGCAGTTAAGTGGACACCTATCGCAAGATGCCTGTCACAAAAATGTTATGAAACTGGGATATAAAGTTATAAAGGAGAAATAAAAACAATAATGGGCTAATCATGTTAGTAACCATCGCGACACCAATATCCTCACACGTGAAAGATAAAAATAGTATCTTCACTGCGCGCGATGAAGATATGATTTTTTTGTAAAAGGAAAAATCCTGGTATTTTATCAGTATCTATATAATAAAAGACGTTTAGTGTTCCTTTTTGATATCTTACACTTCAACTTTAATTCGCGTGAAAAAGTGCTCTAAAATGTATCTGAAAATAAACCGGTCCGTAAAAATGGCGTGGTCTTGCGACAAATTATGATCTTTGTTTTCCTGACCTTCCGACCCACTTTTGCGAAAGAGAGGGTGATAGGAAATAAAACAGTCCTTGGGCATGCTCTGTTTCACTGCAATGATCTAATTAACTGCCAAACTCAGCCAGTCTTTGATCGTGAGTAGGTTCTTATTGTTCTCAACCCTAACAAATATCAAAACGACTTTTGTCGCGAGTTATCTAAGACATGCTCATAATTTTATAAAACATTAGCAAGTTTAGTCTGTTAAATAAATGAAATCGGAAAGGTCTCAAGTCAGATTACATTTTTCGTGGTTGTAGGGTGACTTTGCAGGCAGCTAATAAAACTTCACTTCACAGAACACCATATTGCTAAATACAGAGCCAATCAGCAAACGATCTTTATAAAAAATTGCTGTCGAGGAGCCCGACACTTCCTTCCCGTCATTCATGTACACTTCGCGAAGCTCGTAATCAGGAAAAGCTTCCCCGGATGAAGATGGCTTTCCAAGCTGCAAAGTTAATACTTGAGAAGGACTGGGAAGACTAAGGTTCTTAGAGTGTTCCGCGAAGTCAGTAACCCGAGGCGATCCCGCAAGCCACAGATTTCCAGTCACAGGGTCAAGGTTGATGTTATCTATAAATGTTCCCACTGGAATCGTCTGTTGAAGTAAAGTTGGTAAAAGCCGGACTGGTTATGAAAGTCGGCAAACATAAAGGTAAAAAAACAGTGCTAAGTGTAGTTTATGTGGAAAGTTCTTTGACCGTGCTCAATCGATCGTTTGTGGCGGAATAAATTAATGTGACGTTTCTGTTGATCAGTAAGTTCAAAAACATAGGAATGCTATTAAACGTTAAGCACATTAAGCTCAGAAGCTAACAAAAACAAATAACAAAGCCGAGAACGCTGACGGGCTCGCAACTATTGCACTCTATCACACTTTACACACTTTATTAACAAGTAACATACATAGAATTCATTTCCGCCCTCAAATAGCAGGTGCTAGTGGAGGCCAGTCAGTGATAAATGAAAATAAATAAATAAATAAATAATAAAGCTCAAACGTGAATAAAAAGACATTTACAAAATCAACCACTTGTAACAGTTACTGGCATATATAACTACAAAAACAACCAAAATAAACGATTCATCGCAATTTTCTGAAGCAGAATGGACGCTTCACCATAACAACAAGTTGTTATTACGTATTTTTAAAAGCTCTCTTGGGGAGTTGACGGAGTTCATTGCGAACGGAGTTCCAAAGCTTAGCCCCGAACTTAGCAAAAGAACCTTAGTTTTGATTCAATCTCGTTGTGTTAACATAAAAACTGCCGGATGAAGAGAACCTGGTCACGTGTTCATGCTTTTCATTAGCTTTAATAAAATGATTACCAATATTAGTCGGAACAGCAGAACATAAAAAGACGTCGAACGTTATTGAAGAAACTGTTTCAACGTATAACATATTTAAGTGAAGGATTTTTGAAGAGGTGAATAAACTATGGTTGAAGAAAACAACAGTATTCAGGTATTACGCAGTGACGTAAGGTACGATGTTGGGGGAAACAGAGGAGGGGTAGTTCGGGAGAAAAAGGGGTGGGGGAGGTGACGAAAGGGCGGGATAGTGGAAGTTTTAAAAGGAAGGGAAGGGGGAGAAATTTGAGGGGTAAGTGGGGGGGAGTGCTTAATATTTCGCAATCGAAAAAGGGCTTAAGTGAGGAGGACAAGACAAAAGGGGTGGGAGCAGGAAATGCTAGGTACAAGGGACGGAAGATTTGGATCTCCCTGTCCCCCCCTCTAGAATGAGCAAGGGTACCAGGGAGTCATAAAGGGAGTCTAAAAATCTCCCTTCCCATCCCCCTTCACTCTCGTAAGGGCAATATCAAGGAATTACTCTAACACACGCAAACTAACCTGACACTTTTCTAATGTGTTGTCTTGACGACGTCTGTAAATTGCAACACTAAGAGAAATGTAGTCGGGAGTAAACGCAAACCTACAAGGGAGAAAAAACATGGCTGGGAACGGCTTAATTGCCCGATTCAGCTGATCTCTGAGTTGGACTGCTTTCAAGTAGTGGTTTGCGCATGACAGCGTAAGCTTAGACCAGCTTAGATCGCTGCTGAAACAAGTTTGACGATCGCATGGACTGAGTGAAAACACCTTAACAATGTTTGCAGCTAGATGTCATAGCGATCCATGAGAAAAAAAGATCGCTGAAGATAAATTTCAGTTCTTTTTTATGGTTGTCTACGTTCAAATCGCTGGACTGGGTTTACGTTGTCTGTTTGAATGAAAGATACTTGCTAAGTCTCGTTGTTGGGAGCGAGAGTGGTAAGGGAGTCAGTGAGACACGCGAGCAGCGAAACGCACCTTCGCTGGGTATTTACTCCCGCCTTGTCGTATCATCTCGCGTGAGTAACACAAAACTAGCTAAAATTATATATGAGCTCAATTCGTATAAGTTTGAAAAGCGGGAAAACCTTGTTGTGTCCACCTCTCCATTAATTTGGCATCAGTTTAACTTCTTTTTTTTTTGAGAAAAAAGGTGACCGTTCCGTTAGGGATCAATTTCATAAAAGGCGGGCGCATGCAACGCCTTTTGTTTGCTAAGCAACGCGCCTTGTAGACACACCAACTAACCTTTCGTCTTTATCCATAGCAATACCATTAGGATGAACTCCTATAAACGCTTCAATAGCCTTGAATCCATCAAAAAACACAATGTTACAATGCAGCCAGTAATTCAGAAAAAAAAGCCACAAGTTTCTCATCACAGTGCGGTGAAAATGAAAGAAGTTATCGTTGGTGACGTAAAAGCTATCAGGACCTGCAAAGGGTATATATTGGAAAGAAGAAAGTTAATCGTCTCATGCGTTTTTTTTTTTTTGTTTTTTTTTAGTTTTTCCAAGATATTGTTAATCAAACATCTGATAGATAGCCGGTTATATGGACTACTTTTTTTTCACTGTATTGGCCACATGACTGCACCGGCTCAGCGTTAGACGTCGCATATTGCTAACTGCAACAGTCTAACGTAAACGTTATACATAAGCACGCTGGAAACGTCGTGTATCCACGCCTGTGAAGAGCTGCCATTTTATCGATTGATTTGCCTGTTATTTTGGACGTGTTCAACGCTAAGATACTTCTTTCGCGACGCCATTACAGTTTCAGTTGGACGCTTCAATGTGCAACGAGGCTTTAAAAGAACACCGGCCGTATTTTTTTTTTTTTTTTTTGTTTTTTGGAGTTGCATAGCGCTTTATTTGTCTGAAATCGCTATGATGTTGTTGTCGTTGTTGTTTTGTTTTGTTTTGCTTGCACCTTTTCTCGAGCTAATTCTAAAGCTAATTGCTGACCGGACCTCTTTTTACCACTATTGAGTTCTTAAAAAGATCTCCAATACCTCTCAGTTCCTAACCTGCGAACAAAGGCACTTCTCATCACTCTTCGCCCCCAGGCTTTTCAGGGAAACAGGCTTGAAAGGAAACGAAACGTCCAAGCAGAGTGGCGAGGAGCGATGAGAGGAGGCTGTATTTGCAGGCCACATTTTATCCAATAAAGGTAAAAATCCCTTATATCTTAATCCAAAGTGCTGGAATGTGAAATGGGCATTCAACTCTTTTCAATTTTTTACATTCCCCCAAGGCCAGGAGTTATAATCGCCACTTGAAATGATCGCCCTACAAATGTAACGAGCACAATTCGATTTTCTACTTTTTTTGAGACATCTTTGCTTTTCGTGTTCAAGGAGAGTAGGTGTTATCACTGAAAAACAGGATCGAGCCACCTTAATTAACTAGTCACCTACCTACTGCATATACATCATTTGGACTCCAGATCAAATCATCCACCACAGAACGGCGATGTATTAATGAATGTTTTTCCCGCTCAAAGTCAAATATTTCAATGGCTTGTGCATCTGGTCGGTGATTCACAACAAACAAGGATACCTGACCCGAGGATGGGTCTTGATACGCGCTAATCCCGTGAGGGTTAAATCCCGTGACGTTGAAGTTCTTCAGTGTTAATTCAACTGGATCCTGGTCAGGTTTGTTGAGGTCAAATGTTAACAGCTTAGAGTCTCGTTTGTCAATCTCGGGGTCGTAATAGAGTGCCAGTTTATAGCGGAGTCCCTGTTGGTAAATTAAAGAAGAAAAAAGAAGCAAAACTCTTTAGGACATTTAAAATTTATGATCATCATCATCATCATACATCGCTATCATCAACAACGTCATCATAATAATCATTCATATTTAATCATCACCAGTGTTATTACTAATGGTAACACGATTGACACGATTGATATCTCTAAGCTTGAAACTCGCCATCTTTATTACTGCAACGCAGGCTTTCCATTTTTTTTGCATTACTAATAGTGTGCACATCTTTGGTGCCAGTTAAACCTGACACATTACTTCACAATGTGTCTTCTCATTGGCTGAGACTACATTTATTTCGGAAATCAGCGCAGATAATTGCTATCAGTTATCTACTAATCTGTAGGTTGCGCGGGCAATGCATGATTTCTATAGGCAATAGAAGGTCGCCTATCAACAGACCAGCTAATTCTTCAAAGGCAGTTTCACAGAACTCTGTTTTATCAAAGACTAGTTGAATTGTTATGTTGGCCAATTCCATCACCTGATCTTAAAGTTATTTATTGCAAACCACCTTTGTAAACAGAACCCAGAGGGCATGCAGCCAAGGTACAGCCTAAACACAGAGAAACATTACAAAGAGTACTTGAAAGAACTCTGCATTTTTAAACAAAAGATGCAAAGGGTACGGTCACTAATTTTCTTGAAAAACTGTGGTCTGAACGTGATGGATTTGTTTTAAGATTTCCTATCCTAACCCTAACCCTAGTCCTAACCACGACCTTATCGGCCTTCCTCACGTTTGGGGTGTATCCTACCCATCCTCATTTTGCAATCTTTTTGCAGGAGAGCTTAATTTAAAGTTACTGTCCAGGAAAAATAAGGCACAACTGAGAATAGTACAGTTTGTTTTCCCAGCTGTTTTCTGAAGAAATGCCTTTCGGACCCTCCTCCAAAGACTTAAGGCATGCATAAATACAGTCCCAACAATAAACAACAGGCACTTACGGAAGAAACAAAGACCAGTCCATCAGGGAGAAGGGCGAAATCTTCAGAACCGTTCGCTAGAAAAAGAAAACAATCAATCACACTCGTTTTAATAAACACGGCTTAAATTTCAGTGAATAATCAACCTCGTCGACAAAGGGGCTTTGCAGTATATTTGAAAGTAATCATGATTTGTTAATGATGCCAAACTCACAACAATTTCGAGCCACAAATGTCCAAAACGCGCGTGCTGCATGTCTACATGCACTTAATAACAGCTAACAGCAAACAATATGGCGTTGTACAGCTAAACAAACGAATGGACTTCATATTGAAGATAGTTTTATTCTTACTTTTCAATCCCTCACGTTCCAGGCACATGTTAGTCATGTTACGCTTGCGTAGCCTAGTTGCCCTGTGACTCAAAATTAGTTGTTCAGAGGTTTTGACTGATCCCAAACTGACTTTACCGGAATTAGACAGAAAACTGAACAGAATGACTATTAAAAGAAGGAAGAAAAAAAGATATTGAAAAAAAATTATCTAAATTTGTAAATGAAATGATCGCAACTGCCCCTTTTAAACTGTTCTCAAAATG